TAAAACTTCATATTGTTTCTATCACCAGCAACGCCTGCAGCGCTAAGTGTTTCGGCCACTCTGGCCACTGGAGCCCTAGAGAGAAGGAAAGGAACCAAAAAGGTTAAGAGTGACCTTGAAATAATTTATAACATAGGAAAATACCCTCAAGAAATCTACTTCCAAAGAGGAATAAAAAGCAGTAAGTACAGTCACATGTGTTTAGACAAACAATGAAAAGTGACATTTATCTCTGGGTGGTGGGATTTGGCTGACCCCCCCATCCCCCCAGTAAAGAATGAGTTTAAGAAAGAATGAATTGTGGGAAACCAACATCGCTTATTGAAAGAATCGCAACGACTGTGTGTTATTTCTAGAGGGGATGGGGTTAAAAGGCAACGTCAGTTTCCTATCCAGTCTATTCATCATCATTGACATAAGCTTAATGTCACAATGGGGCATTCACTATTTTGCAATTGCAAAAAAAATCCTGCAGAGGTGGATGCTCAAACTATTTTGCTTGAAACTTTGCTTTAAACATATACCACAGAACCAGAAAATAGGAAATTCCATCAACTTGGTCACAGAGCTTCCCTGTACTTTGAATATTGACCTGGGACTAGTTCCTATAACATCATGCCAGACCTCTGAGGTCCAACAGAGCAACTCTTGGAGAAGGAATTATTGCACTGCCAAGCTTTATACTGAAATTATATCCTAAAATTAGAAAGTCCTAACACACACATGAAGAGAGAATGGATAGATGATACATGTCTACACCTATAAAACACATATAAACACTTTGAGGCAAAGTCATCAAGAAATATAGCAGACATTCAAACATTTAAAGTACCATATAGGCCATAGTTATAAGCGATGAAGTTGAGGGAGGCTGTAGGTACATGAAAGCTTTCTCCCTAGGCTCAGTGACTTATCTGAGTGCTCCTAGTTCTAAAAAACAAACAAATATTAAGGATAGTCTTGTTAACTCTTTATCATCTCAATGGAAGTTTCCTCTGAAGCCATGTCCTAGAAGGAATTTTTGTTGTAAGCCCAAGAGAGCAAAGAAACATCTCTGCAGCTCAAGAAAAAATTAAATAGCTAAAGCAAAAGCCACATCTTATTTCCAAGAATGTGTTGATTTTCCTCTGCCACTCACAACGTGGCTTTGTTTGAATAACAGTCTGTGCCAAACTAAACCAAAGGCTGACATGGAAATGAATATTCCTGTGGCCACAATGCCTTTCACCACTGCCTCTCACCCTGTTACATCCCTTTCTCTGTCATGCCACCAAACCTAGGCCTCAGTATGGATCCCAACTCAGACCAAAGAGGCATCTAATCTTATCAATTAAAAAGTATTTCCCTAGACCATAAGATGAATATATTCTTTAAAGTAATAATTGTAATTTTGAGCATTGACCAAGCACTGTTGCATACATCACCAAAGCCCTATTATGAGTTCATGACTACTGTGGTCCTCATTTTACAGATGACGAAAACCACTTAGTAGCTAAGTAACTTGCCTAAGAGTAAGCATTGCCAGCCTTACTACATTCAGCAAATGCCAAAGAAACATTTTAACCTAATCTTGACGGTGACAGGAAGGTAAGAGAAGGCAAGACTCACTACTAAATGTTGAAAGTAGAACAAACAGTAACTATAGTTAAGTATTTGCCTTTTTCCCTAAGTTTTCAGCATCAAACATGTAATTTTGTGATCAGAAAGAGGGAGAAATTAAGAGGTGGAAAGACAGAATATTGAATTCTCTGCCCTACCAGTCTGGGTCAGGCAAGATTGCCTCCTAGGATATTGTACTGTTGGAGAGAAAGCAAGAGTAAAACTCAAGACAAATACAATCTTAACTTATTTCCTACTGATTTTCCAACATGATTTTTCTGCTCCAAAAAAGGCCAGTATGATTAACTCCCCAATAAGCAAAGCCTGATCCCTACTCCCTGCCCACCCTCGAAACTCAACCCAAATCCCTGCCCACCCTCCAAACTCAACCCAAATCCCTGCCCTTACTCATGGCCCAACTCAACCCCAACTCTCCTTCCTCAGACACCTCTGTTTAAACATTAAAACTCAGTCTGACCATGTATTACTCAAACATTTAGTCAATTACTACAGTACTTGCTTGCATTTCTACTTGCCTGCTTTACATCCTGCTGTCTAGATGTTCAGAAACTACAGAAGAGCCAGTGTGGGAGGGCTCCTGTGCTACCTTTTATAGTCAGCTGAGTACCCTAGGACATAATGCTCTATTGATGAGCTCATAGTCAGGGCTCAGCCAATCCCTGTTGAGCATATTGGTCATAATTGATCCCTGAAGGCAACCACATAGCAGTTAATCAAGGCTTGATAAGTTAAATAAAAAATGAAATGTCTAGGCCATCCCAGTATCACACTGCCATAAAACAGAAAGATTAAGGAGAGCTGCTGTATAATGTCTTGGGACATTACTACTCTCTGTCTTAGGAATTAATACAAAGACATCAACCATTACATTCAGAAGACAATTTATCTCTTACTCACATTATAACCCTACCATTTTCATTTTCTAATCCCTTTTCAAGCATCCCTTCCATTACCTTTGGTTGCTGTTATGTGCCGTCGAGTCGCACCGACTCGGCACATAACAACAACAACAAATACAATAAATACCTTTGGTTAAGTGTCATGAAATTTGAAAGCACGTCCTACTTACTTTATAAATATCTTTATCACAGCTATTGGATTGCCCCTCTTCCTTTAAACAGATAATTCACATCTACAGTTTTAAAAATTAGCTTCCTGAGGAGCTCTGGTGGCATAGTGCCTAAGGCATTTGACTGCTAACCAGAAGAATGGTGGTTCTAAAACCACCAGCTACTCCATGGAAGGAAGACCAGGCAATCTACTTCTGTGAAGATTTACTGCCTTGGAAACCCAAAGGGGATTGCTATGAGTCAGAATCGACTCGATGGCAGTGAATTGTTTTTGTTTGTTTGTTTGTTTGTTTTTGTCATCTGTGTAAGGAGCTCTGGTAGTACAGTGGTTAAGGCATTTGGCTGCTAATCTAAAGGTCCTTGGTTTGAACCTACCAGCTGCTTTGTGGAGGAAAGCTGGAGCAATCTGCTTCTGTAAAGATTTACAGCCTTGGAAACCCAATGGGGCTTGCTATGAGCCAGAATCAATTTGACAGCAGTGAGTTGTTTGTTTTTTGTCATCTGTGTATTCCCACTATTCTTTTCTCTAAAATACTCTATTGTGTCTATTTTTCATCCATTTCTACCCCCCACACACACTCTTTTCAGATCTTCCATAAATCCTTTCCTCCCTTTCCAGTTCTGATTTTGCCTTCTTAAAACTCATAATATACAATTTTGGACACATAGAAATGAGCAATACTTTTTTAATGTTATTGAGATTCATAATTCCATGTCAATTTGCCTTTAGTCTATTTTCCAAGAATGTTGTTTCTAGTCTAACCTTGTTAAGCTTTGCTAAAATCTCAATTTGGCAAGTCAGTTTCCATATCTAATATAAAACAATGAAATCAATAAAACAATATCTTATTGACTGCCTAGAGGCTTCATGTGAAAGTGTTGAAGTTGAATATTGAAAAGTTAAAGGTGAAATTTACAAGCATTAGGAAATTTAGTAAGTATAGATGTTGTATCTTTGTCTTTCCAGCCAAATCATACAGAACAGTGTCTATCTTACCTAGCTTTATATCCCCAAAGTGTCTAACATAGTGTTTTCCATACATAGTAGGTGCTGCGGAAATGATTTTGTTGAATTTGCCCCATAGGTTTTTGGTGAGATAGGAGTTCTAGTGGTGCAGTGGTGAAAGCATTTCGCTGCTAACCAAAAGGTTGGCAGTTCAAACCCACCAACCACTCAGTAGGAGAAAGATGAAGTAGTCTGCTTCCATAAAGATTTACAGACTTGGAAATCCTATGAGGCAGTTCTGTTCTGTCCTAAAGGGTCACCATGAGTCAGAATAGACTCAATAGCAGTGGGTTTTTGTTTTGTTTTGTTTTGTTTGGGATGAAGCTTTTCATATTACTCATTTCCAGAGCTTCACAGGAATGCTGTTCCTCTCCTCTCATTTCTCCCCTTACTTTTATCTCCCAGTGGGTTCCATACTTCCTGCCCAGAACACTTCCCTCTTCAACCCCTCTCTGTCACCCTTCTGTGCTTCTCTTCCAGCTCTAAGTGTGACTTGAGACCTTATGCAGCCTCCTCATACTAGCATGTGCTAGGCCCTGCGTTGGGTGCTGGGGATATGAGGTAGAGTCGAGCGAGGTTCTTTCCCTCTAGGTTCTCACAGTCTAGTAGGAGATAGAGATAAATTAAGAACAATTATGTAAGTGTTAAAAGTCCCTTAACTGAGGCATGTACAAAGTACTATGAGAGAAAAAGAAGGCAAAGCAAACGTCTGTCTGGGGTGGGCTGGAGGAAGCTTCATAGCAGCAAAGACAAACATCATTTCAACAGGCTAAGAGAAGAGGGAAAGGAATAGAGCGGAGAATAAATGTGCCTGTGCAAAGGCATCAATGTATGACAGAAGCAAGAAGCTTAGTGTATCCAGAATGAGGAGCCAGGGGATGAATGCTTAAGACTAGGCCGAGGACATATTGAGGTTTGCTTGTGAAGAGCATGGTGTGTTATACTAAGGAGCTGGAGC